GTATCGAATAAGTCGGCGCAGTCAGAAATTCGATATCTCCGTTGGTTTCCAATTAGAATTTTCTAGAACTTACTTGGAAATTCACTCTCACAGTCAAAATCGGGTAAACAGTCAGACACCAATGTCACGGCTCTAGGGTGCGTGACAGAAATCTTGGGTCCGTTTATTCAAAATCAAAGTCCAATTAACACAACAATAATTTATTCCACGTTACTATACACTCTGACACTAATTACTTCACTAATTAATTCAACAACTAAACTCTTTACAACTCTCGACAATAATCACTATCTAAATCATATCACAATCTTAAACTTGAAACTATAAACTAATACCGGCCTTTATATATCCGTAATCTTTTCGTGTAGAATCCAGAATAAACGTGATAATCTGTTTGCTCGAGTAAAGCAGTATTTTTTAGATTTCAAGTTATGCTGCGGAACGCGCCACAATACGAGCAAATTGGTGTAAATTATGAGTAAGTTATGCTCCTGGAGCGAATTTCTGAATTGGGTCTTTGACGCCAATGCCATCCAACGAGAAGAAAACGCACAAATTATATGAACATAACGATTTTTATCTTCAAGCGGTCTATAATTGGAACTTTATTGTCGTTAACGATTGACGCAGAAGTGATCCAATATATACCTAGGACTGAAAAGATTGCTATGTATGAGGTAATGTTTTCGTTTTTTTTCTCTCTAGATGCAGCTGCATCAATCAACGCTATAATGTTCTTGTTATTGATTTTACGTTTTCTTCGCCCTAGATGAAAGCGCCAAGGACGGGAATTAGCTCCGAGAGCATAATTTATTTAATATTTGCACTAATTTGTGTGTTTCATATTTTTGATTCAATATCATGAAAGAAATTATTGCATAGATAAATACGAATAATCAACTTGATCTATCTTATACAGTAAGGGGCAAGCTACTAGGTATATAGGATCCAACTTGACGAATTAACCACCGTCCGCAGCCGTTTGAACCCCTGTCACTGCCGTTCGTTCAACAACTTTGACGTTTGTTTACTTCAGTACGATTTAGATACAGACTTAAGCACGGTCCAGACGCTACGGTTCAGCTTAATGATCAAAATGTTTTGTCTGCAACGTGTTTAACTGTATGCAGACAAAACGTAGCGTCTGCGCCATGCTTTCAGATATTTCGTCAAGCTTTATTTATTTATAATTAAGTTTACGCGTGTAGATAGCTAAGCGTTGGTTATCAATGTAGACACTAGACACTTTAAGCAAACCCTAAATTTTCCTACGTATCCGTATCCGCTTCTGTAAACGCATCGACTTACGTTGACCGCCTAAGGGCCGGTTTATCAATCAAGGAATAAATCGCAGAGTTTGCTGACTCTGGGTACCTCTAACTCTAAGCTAACTACCTAGTTAAGTCGAAACGTGTTTATCCCAGCTTTTTAAACCAAGGGCTGGTAAACTCTCGGGTTTTTCGAAGGTTGGCGTTACTTATGCAACGTTGCCAGCTCACTATCATTGTTTTTTTTTGAAATTTTCTGCTCATAACCTTACTTATTTATGTTATTTTTTTCTTTTTTTTTTTCCTTTTCCATAGGTGGGCATTCATACGAAAGTAGCATGCGACGTGCGACTTGCTGCTAAAAAGCAGGGAGCACGTTGCAACTTGCGTTTTCTATGTTTACATTCATAATTCGTACCAAAGCCGCACAATGCTACCATATTTATCGACACTCTTCTACGAAACAAGTCAAAAATAAACAGCGTTGTGCGTCTTGCAAGTACAGGGTATTTGATTATATTTGGCACCATACCTACAGCCTTTACTAATTAAGATAGAAAAAAATTTTAAATACAAAACTTGACAGTTTTTTTCTATGTTTTCTGATAACGTTATCAGAAAAAAACAAAATCGCATCGGAAAATGGAGAAACGTAAGCAACTTCGACTTTTTTTAATGGACCACCCTGTATATTTTGCGATAAAATGAAAGATCTATTCTTTCTGATTCCAAATATATATATATTGATAACATTTGCGTGAGCCATTGTTGACATATCTCAGGTTAAATTATAAAGAATTTGCAGAGAAGTTCCATAAGGATCTCTATCTTTATAAAATTTCTTTGCAATTTAGTTATAATTTAAGCTGAGATATGTCAAAAATGGCTCATGCAAATGTGATCAACATATATATATTTGTAATCAGGAAGAAAAGGTCTTTCATGTTATCGCAAAATATACAGGGTGTTCCATTTAAAAAAGTCGAAGTTGTCTACGTTTCTCCATTTTCCGATGCGATTTTGTTTTTTTCTGATAACGTTAAAAGAAAATATAGACAAAAACTGTCAAGTTTTGTATTTACAATTTTTTTCTATCTTAAATAGTAAAGGCTGTAGGTATGGTGCCAAATATAATCAAATACCCTGTACGTCGCAAACTATTAAAATATACATGTTCCAATTATTCCGGTGTGAAACCAGGCATATTTTTCTAGGTTCGAAAATAATAGCATGCTTCTTGCTTTCTTGTAGCAAGTCGTACATCGCATGCTACTTTGGTGTGAATACCCACAAGCGGAAAACGGAAAGTTTGGTTTCGTGTATTTTGTGTAGAAATAAACAATATACTCGAATTCTCAACAAATATAGGTTTGTTGGGAATTCAAGTCAAGTCTATGCTTGATTTGTTCTAGAATAAATAAAATAATTGTTTCTTTTCCCAAGCGAAAACGTGCGAAGAAGTCGAAGTCATCAAAATCCGCAAAGGGATTTGACCGAAACCTTACGTGCCTGTGCTAGAGGCACCGCTAATGCATGTTCTAGAAATTCTAAAACATCTCGATCATCATCACTGGAATCTAGGTCCTCCATCTCTTCACAATATCAAAATTCAAGCCAAAACCAGAACTTTTTTTTAAAAAAATCAGATCGAAAATAGGAGAAAATATTGAGTTTAACCCAGGGTCAAATATGCTAACTTGCTGTGAGAGCGCGGGTTAATTTTTTTCTGGAATAACTTTCGAGTAAGCAGTTGACCCTGGATGGATAAACACTTGTCACAACTTTGACCCAAGGTTATCCGTAACTCATGGGGTAACCCTCTATTGATAAACCGGCCCTAAAAGTCCTTTCATGGTCATACATTACGTAAACGATCGTATCCTTGGATGACACGTTTTCTAACCACAAAAAGTTTTGTTTTGATTTTGTAGCTGTGTTTGTAGGTTTTATTTTTATCTATAAGTACTGTGTTTATGTTGTTGAAGTTATTTTAGTAATAACTGACAGGTAGATCCCTCAATAGTGTCAAATGATTGAGATACGTTTTCGGATACAGATACGAGGCTAGGCCCGTAACGATACGGACAACGCAACGCAACGAGACCACCGTATTTACTATCTATCCTGCGTTAGAAACGTTTGAAATTCAGGACCTGCTTAAAGTGTCTACTTGCTTATCCTGAATTTTTATATGTATCCGTCTCCGACGCGCAGAATAGATACGGTGGTTTCGTAGTCCGCATAGTTACGGGCCTAGTCTCGTATCCGAAAACGTATCTCAGCCATTGTGTCTTCAGCCTTAGTTTTTTGAGTGACAGGTCTTTTCACGTTTTGTTTTTACCTGGTTGTCATGAGTTAAGGGTCATTCACATCCACTTAACTTAACTTAAGGTACGGAAAATTATAACTAACGTACGAAACTGAGAAGGTGTCTGTTAACAATGAAGTAAATTATCTTACTGACTTGAACTGTCAAGTCAAATTATATGCACAGAAATGGAAATTATTATTTATTGCACGGATTTTCTTAAGTTGGTTCAACTTTTCCGTGTGTCACGTTAATTTTCTTAATTTTAAGTGGATGTAACAACTATGTGATTTTCAACTTTTTTTTATTATTAATTTTCCGTACGTCAAGTTAAGTTAAGTGGATGTAAATGACCCTTTAGCACTAAATATATTTGTCATTTTGCTACATGCGGACACCTGCAAATTCGTCAAGTTATATCCTATATACCTAGTAGCCTGCCCCTCACTGTATAAGCGTCTATATTTCAAGCAGTGAAATGTGTTTCGAGTGATCTTATATAGATTTCAAATTCGAATTAAACAATTTTGATATACCTACGTTGTAAATTTTAGTGGCAGCCTTTTCCTTTTCCGAAAATAGATGAAAGAAGCAGTTATTAAGCTGTGAAAGGAAATATTGCAGTCCCTTGAAGATAAAATGTTGTATGCCATTCAGCTTCGAAGGTCTTTTTGTGCTTCGCTTAATTATCAGTGCTGAGCTCAGCACAAATAGACCTAATTCTTGGCGTAATGACATAAATAGCTATTGTGGTCCTAGGACCATAAACGAGCACTTCCGGTGTCAAATTTTGACAATAAAATTCAAATTAGGAAAAGGTTGAAGATAAAATAGTTTTTCTGCCGACAGTTTTTGCTTGTACTTGATATGATAAGTTTTAGCTTGAGAAAATATTTTTGGGACAAAAATTGGCGCAGGCAGATTTTTATCAGCGTTTTTCCATTTGTTTTCGATGAAATTTATCTGTTAATATCATGTGATTATTTTAGTGCAACCATCAAGGAAACAACGGTTTTAAAATGCCTAATTGAACTAATGAGAAAGCGGAAAATGATCAATTCTTGATTTAAATGAACTTGAAAATCAACAAAAATAGGTAGGTATCTTATTACTCATATAGTTTTTTCAATTTAATGAGGTAAACTATGTTGTAGTCGCCACATCGTGTGGAAGGAAAAATAAAGATATGTTTTATATCAATCTGAAGTAAGGCGGAAGGGCATATACTTTGAACCAAATATTACTTCTGTAATGTTTTATTCCAATGACCATAATGCTGATGCCAACCCTTATATCAAATTTTTCTGTAGGGTTGAATTATTGCCAAGCCACCTGATTTATATTCCACTTATAAGAAACTGCTGAACAAAAATAATCGAAATATCGCTAGAAATACGTCCTAAAGGGTATTAAGAATTACTCACCCAAAATTCGTAAAGTTGATGCTCGTGCAAATTCCTTACTTCATACGCTAGGGCCAATTCTTCGTTAATATCTTCAACTCTTACATTATGGCTTTTGTGTTGTCCCACCCGGCCAGCTTCTCGACAAAATACAGTATACAATGTAATATGGCCATTTCTTTTTACTGGCGGTAACCAAGAGACTAAAATGGATTCCGCTGTTAACGGGTTGGCTTTGATATTGGCGGGTTTTCCTGGAACTGGAAAAAAAGTATTATGTGCTAAAATTATTAAATAATGAGAAAAGGCAGAAAAGCTTATTGAAGATCAGGACAACAGTTTAAAATTCAAGGTAGCAGTTTACATGATATGCAAGAAGAACTGCCGTCCCTCAAACAACTGGGAAGAATTGCCGGGCAACTGGATAGCTCTGAAAAATAGGTAATTTATTTATACGAAAATGCATCGAATCGTGGAAATAAAATTAGTCACTTGTTTACGTCGGGCAATGCACTTTTTCCTGGAATTCTATTATCTTCGATTCGATGTTTTTCTAGCTAAATCCCGAGTGTAATTTCGACTATTATTGGGTCAGTCTAGTAAAAGTCAAGAGCTTTCTTGACTGATATTTTTGTTAAGTCAGTTTTTATTCGATAACGGTCGTTTACGTTTCGATAAGTGAATTTTGTATAAAGTCAATTAGTTTAATAAAAGTTGTTACTATTTGTGTTAGTGAGTTTTAGTGAAGCAGGAATCCGTGTCGGCTCCATCAAAGCCTCCAAGTATTTGAAACCAACATCCGCCGTCTGGTTAATTTGGCCTACCCCTAAGCAACAGCAAGATATTCGAGATCAACTAGTGACCGAAAATTTTATATATGGTATTAGAGATATGGATGTACAGAGAATGCTGCTCATAACCATTCCGTCAAATGGCAATCAAGGCCCTAGAAAAAAAAGCGGCCTATGAGATTTCCGAAGCAAAGATTAGAGGTGTGTCGATTCTTGAAGAGAAAGAGCCAATGGGAGAAATTAACAGCACCGTTGGAAGATAAAGGGAGCATTAAATGTAACCGCTGTGGAAGAACAGAACATTTCAAACGTGATTGTAGAGTACAACTGAGATCTCGCTCTCCTTCTGATGACAGTCAATCTTTGATTGAGAGCTTGCGACGCCGAGAATACCCAGATCAAGGCAAGAACTGCCTCAGAATTGGTCAGCTGGAAAGAGTTCCTGTTAGAAGCTTTCGATTGGACGCGGATCAAGAATGGAGGCTAGAACAGCTAGGAAGTTAACGAATGGAAACCTCAACCTCGAATCATTTTTCGAGATAAGGGAAGCCGGGAATAGATCAACTAAAGGTAGAAAAGAAAAATCCGGCAACCAGAGGAAGAAAAACCAAGAACAAGAAGATTGATCAATTACGACTGATGCTGATCCAGAAGGTCGAAGTCATCCTTCAAACGGACGCTCCGCGAATTTCCATGAGGAGGAGTGCTTCGACCGTACACGAAAGCACAGGAAAGGCAGTTGGCACAGGAAAGGCAGCATTAACAATAAAAGGGACCGGCTAGCCATTCGCCTAGTATCCATGACGTCAATCGAAGGGAAGAAGAGCCACGCATACATGAGGGTGGATCTGGGAAGTCAGGATGGCCGAGCGGTGTAAGGCGCTGCGTTCAGGGCGCAGTCCACTTGAACAGGCATAGAGATGTTAGGCAACAAAAGAGATTAAATCATTATGGATCTGAGTAGAGATATAGACGAAGAAGAGGAGGCAGTCCGTCTTGGTAGTCAGCTTGGGACGATCTGATTTAAGAGGGAGGCAGTGTTGCGAAAATGCATCGACATCGTGGCGCCGGGATTCCAAGAAATTGAATTAGTCACTTGTTTGCGTCGGGCAGTGCACTTTTTCCTGGAATTCTATTATCTTCGATTCCCTGTTTTTCATAGCAAAATCCCGAGTGTACTTTCGACTATATAATTAGAGCGACAGAGCGTAGGAATAATTTGGGTCATTCTGGTCAAGAGCTTTGTTGATTGTTGTTGTAGTTAAGTCAGCTTTAATTCGATATTTTTCGTGTACGTTTCGATAATTGATAAGTGAATTTTGTATAAAGTCAATTAGTTTACTAAAAGTTGTTATTGTTTGCGTTAGAGAGTTTTAGGGAACCAGGAATCCATGACAATATTATTAAATAAAGCCAACCAGGCAATAATATAATAATTGCTTGAAAAATCAATTGCTTTCATAATTAACGAAATGTTGATAGAATAATTAGGCAAGTAAAGTGCCTCAAGCTAAAGTAGGTACTTTTCTAAATTTTCTTTTCCACAACTATTTCACTGACCGTAGCCACATCTTTTGGATTTCCTAATCTGTTTAAAGTTAACAACACTCCTAATAACAGAGGGGTACTTTTAGACTTGGCATTTACAAACTTGGTTAACTTAGTTATTAATAAGGCTGATCCACCTTTTGAGGATAGTCATCACCACATTGATTCTGATTATGTGATATTAGTTATTGATAGATTGATAGAAATACACAAGGTTTTAGAGGTTACCTACTCATTTTTACCATGATTTTAAAAATTGCAACTTTATAGGGCTTGATGATTATCTTGGGTCAATTCGGTGGGGCGATATACTTTCTAACACTGATAAAAATAATGCTACATCAATGTTTCATGAAGTATCGGCCGATGCAATTGCATATTTTGTAACTGTAAAAAAAATTTAAAACAAATTATTTTCCTAAATGTTTCTCGGCAGAACTTAGGCATTTAACCTCTATAAGAAGAAAAGCCCATGAAAGGTATACCAATGATAAAATGGATTCTAACTAATAAGAATTTGCTATTCTTAGATCTCAGTGTAAAAAAACTCTCTAGTTACTGTCGATCTGAGTAGGTATATGTACAGGGTGCTGCAATTTGGAGTGTTTCAACAGGAAAAACATACTTCCAGACCAAATAGAGGAAAACTGACTAAGATGTTACGGGATCGATTTTCAAGAAAAGTCAATTATCAAAAACCGTATCACGATATCTTCAATGGTACCATTGATACAGGACGATTTTCGATTTTCCCCTTTTATGAAAAATAGCTATAAGTTTTTTATTTATCAATTTTTTTTTAATTTCTGTAACAACATTTTGGCGATACTTTTTCGAGCACAATCCAGTGACGTACTCAGTTTTTTTCTATTTCGCTCCGATTTCGAAATATCGACCAAAATCCGATATTTTTAAATAAAACACCCTATATATTAAAGCTCATTGGATAGCTCTATTTTTGCCGATTTTAATGATATAAAGTTCGATAAGTTTATCTTTAACAGTTTTCGAGAAATTTTTTTTTATCTGTTTTTGTCATAAGGACCAATGTGTTAGAAAATGATTTTAAATGTGTAAGGAAAATGAGGAAGGTCTCTTTCTAACACATTGTTTCTTATGACTGAAACAGATATAATTTTTTTTTCTCGAAAGCTGTTAGAGATAAACCTATTGAACTTTATATCATTGAAATCGGCAAAAGCAAAGATATGCAATGAGCTATTAAAATATAGGGTGTCTTATTTGAAAAAATCGGACTTTCGACAATATCTCAAAATGGGAACGAAATAGAAAAAACTGAGTACGCTACTGGATTGTGCTCAAAAAAGTATGTAAAGATGTTTTCACAGAAATAAAAAAAAATTGATAAACAAAAAACCTATAGCTATTTTTCATAATAGGGGAAAATCGAAAATCGCCCTGTATTAATGATATCATTGAAGATATCGCGATACGGTTTTTGACGATTGACGAATCAATCCCATGACATCTAAGTCAATTTTTCTCTATCTGGTCTGGAAGTATGTTTTTCTTGTCAAAACACTCCAAATTGCAGCACCCTGTACAGTGTGATTATTTAAGTGTGCAACCTATGGGATTTTTTTCAGTAATAGCACAATCAAAACACAAAGAAGGCTAAAAGTTGGTGCATGTCTGATAATCATATTGGGTGCACTTAGAATGGTTACAAGTCAAACAGCATACAGGGTGAGGCTCAAAAAATATCAAAATTGTAGTAATATTTACTTAAATAAAATAAAACTTTTGCACTTTAAGGAGAGTTTTTTTAATATGCATATTATCATAAGTAATGTTTTAATTTGTTGAAAAAAAAAATGCGACATTTTAAAGTTGTGTTGAATATCATTGCCACAAACATGAATTTTGTGATTCCATAAAAAAATAAAAATCTAAGTTAATTTTACAAATATGCTTGAATTTGAACAAAGTTATGTAAAATTGATTTGAATTTAATTAATTTTTGAGAGGCGGAAATAAAAAATTAAAAATAAAAAAAATATAGAAATTAAAAAATCCTAGGACGCTATGTTTTGGTATTTAGGCATAACTTTTAATTCCAAACAACTTTTCTCTATAACATTTTGCTGAATTCTCTAAAATAAGGGTACTTCACAGTACAATTTTGATATTGTTTGAGCTACCCTGTATGCTGTTTAACTTGCAACCATTCTAAGTGCACCTAATATGATTATCAGACATGCACCAGCTTTTGGCTTTATTTGTATTTGGGTTGTGCTATTACTAAAGAAAATCCACATATGTTGCACACTTAAGTAATCACACTGTATAATTAATGTGAATAACAGTTGCTAAACAACGCTGTATACTAGTCAAGTTCTTCATTTTAATCACACGTTAACAGAAATTTACCCTAAAAATAATAATAATTGACACTCAATTAGCAGTCAGAGCATTTTAGAAGCAATATTGAGGCTCTCTGATAAGGTCACGGCAGAACACAATACATTATAGAAGAATTTGTACCCAATCTACCATTCCAAAACTGCTTGACAAACTAATATGTGAACAATTGACATAGGCTTGCCGGGGATTGATCGATTAGGCTCAGCATGGTTTTACAAGGGGCAAATCCACAGTCACCAACTTAATTTTATATGTCATCACTCTTGAAGGCTTTGGAAGACAAAAATCAAGTTGATGCTATCTACCTATACAGATTTTTTCAAAGCATTCGACGGTGTTGATCATGGTTTGCTTTTTGAGGAAGTGAATCAGTTTGGGTTCCATTCAAACATAGTTCATTGGTTTTCTAGTTCTATGACTAGTAGAGTACAAAAAGTTAAGATTGGCAGTTTTTTGTCTTAAAATATTATAGCAACATCCAACATCTGGTGTACCGCAAGGCGGCCACAGTTCGCCATTGCTTTTTAATATATTTA